TACATGTGTGTGTATTCAGCACATCTTATGTCATCATGTGTTTCAACTGCACCATGTGTTTTAATTATAACAATAACTATATTGAAAGACATTGGAATGGCATTGATATAGGTTGGTAACTAAATTGTTGTACTTGATCCCATTTAAGGGTCAACCATAGACCTTTGCATGGGCACCCCCTGGGCCTTTGGGCCGGGGTCATCTGTACCCTTTGACCCACCCCCAATGGCGCGGCTATTCACAGCCACAGAGTATGTGAAGGTTATCCTAGTATAATTTAGAAGATTAAGGTTATTTGATGACTTTGGAAGACTTACTATAACAGTTATATTGGACAGCTACTGTCTTTTCATAAGAAGAGACATAAATTGTGACCTGAAATGTCCTGTTTAGGGTCATAGGCCATAAAATATAAGTTCTTTGACATCTTTCAAATTGAAATTTCTGTCTCCACTGGTAAAATACTTCTATTTATTTTGCCTTCCTCCAGAACTCGATCAGACACAACCTGTCTCTCAACCGCTACTTTCTGAAAGTGGCCCGCTCTCAGGATGAGCCTGGGAAAGGGAGTTTTTGGCGTGTGGATTCTGCTTCTGAGAGCAAGCTAGTAGAGCAAGCCTTCAGGAAAAGACGGCAAAGAGGGGTGGCATGCTTTAGGACGCCATTTGGACCTCTCTCTTCTAGGTAAACACACACACACACATACAAGACTAGTCAGGCACACTCGGTCATGCTCTGTCGCTTCTGATGTAACTCAGTTAACCTTTGCTCCCTTCTCTGTGCTTTTGCTCCTGGCTATCATTTGATTGGATAGAACAAAGTAAGTCTAATTTCTAGGTAAATGTGTTCAGCAGAAGCTACTGGCAGTGATGGAGCTCTGTATAAAGTCTCTTGATGTATTGATGGATGTCTTTTCTCTCTCGCCTTTTCCTTCTGCCTTCTTACATTCTTTTTCAGGAGTGCCCCTGCATCCCCGACCCACCAGGGACTACTTTCTCCTCCATCCAGCGGGCTGCAGACTCCTGAATGTCTGAGCAGGGAAGGCTCTCCTATCTCCCATGACCACCATGAACAGCTGGCTAACAAACTGGCATCTGTACCTGAGTATAGGTACTCTCAGAGTGCCCCAGGTGAGCCTGCACTCAGACACAGATATATACACATAAAATACATTCAAAGACACACACAAGAAGGCTTTCATTTACATTGTGAAACAGGTAAATTGTTGTATGTGTCTGTCTCTACGTAGGATCTCCAGTCAGTGCTCAGCATGTCATCATGGCTGCACCCCCTCACCCGACTGTCATGTCCTCAGGCCCGGGGAAAGCTCTTGCTTTAGTTCCAGGTGGTGGCCAAATCCAGCCCATCCACGTGCTCCAGAACCCCCCTCAGTCCTCTGTCACCATGGTGCGGGTGGTTACCAGCGGCCCTCTAACTTCCAACCCTCCAAATGGGTACAGTGCCCCCTCTGTTGGAGGAGCAGAGGGCAACAGTGAGCTCAGAGGTACAGCCATTTCTTTTAGGAGGGTCATAATGCTTTATTATTATTATTATTTTCTGGGATTTTCTGCAGTTTTGTGAAGACATTTGAGTATGTTTACTTTTAGCTCCCACACATTATATACATCAGTGTGTTGGACATTTTGCATTCACACGTTTATTTTGAACTTTTCAAAGGCTTGGGGTGATTGAAAGTTTTTCATCTCTGTGAAATACATGATTGAGCTCTGGAGGGACCAAGGCAAACTATCTGACCAGATGTCTGTCACTTTGTATTATCAATAATGGATCTAAACCGGGGCTTCTCGAAGCCCAGACCAAGGTCAAGATCCAAATTGAACTGCAGATCAATACTGACTGGACTGTGTGTCACTTGTTTGATTACATAGGAATATATTTTCTGTGTGTTTTAAAAGTGACTAGTTTTTTGAACATGCCCACATACCTACAAACAAGCTGTTACTGTCCGTCATCGATTAGAATTTTCCCTCATGCAGGAACAACAGGTCGTTCTCCAAGTTTGAAGAATAAAATGAATATTGATCAAGAGAGCAGAGAATACAAAGAATAATGAACACAATTAATTCATTGTTCTGCAGTCCAACACGAAACCTTTGACCAGTTAACATTTGGATCAGTGCTTCTGTCTGGCACTCACACCTTTTTTGAGTTTGGATTCATGGGACAAGTCACAAATGTCGAATGTGTAACTTAAATTATGAACATTTGATTTCATGAAAAACAACTGGACTGTTGAGCCTTATGTGAGGCAGAACTGGACAAAAAGTCAAGTATTTACAGTTAGTTTTACTTTTATGTTTAAATTTTGTGTTTGTGTTTCTCTCAGAAGCCCAGCTGAACAGAGAGCGAGTGATCCACACTGTGGACAGTGCGGTGCAGGGCGGGGATGGGAGGAACTTCACCCCAGGTTTACATCAACTTCCTGTTCGTCCTGTTACCCAGAACGGCAAACACACCACTGGCGCTGTTGCCACAGCAACCAGCCTTGCCAATGCATCTGGTAAGGGGGGGATCAGGGCAAATGTGTGGTGTAGCTTGCGTGTGTGGTAGAAGAGGAGAGAGACAGATTGCCGGTGATGTGCAAAATTGTGCGTGAACTTTGCGGGACGTTCAAATCATTTATCACCATTGATTAATCACACAGATTATATCGTTCTTAGACAGTACTTGTAATAGGCCGAGTAACAGCGAGGTGCATGCATGTTTATTTACATACAGTAGATTAAGGCGTATAGAGACGTGCTTTTGTTTTCTCTGAATCTCCCTTCCAGGCCTGAGTAGTCCTCTCCAGATCTTGGCTGCCCAGGCCTCCAGCTCCCCTCCAGTGCTGGTTAGCAGACAGCCAAGTGCAGAAACTTTAGCTGAGCAGCCAGGCGAGCCCCAGACCAAGCGGCCAAGAATGGAGGACGAGGGTTTGACTGAATCTGCTCAACATCACGTCACACCTGCCCAGCAGCCAGTCATCGTTGCCATGACATCACAAACCCATGACCCTAGGAAGTAAAACCCAGGGCCTCTTTCCAGGTACCCAGCGGACAGCCTCCTTATCGACCCCAAACTGCTTCACCTTTTTATACTCATTTGATATGACTGCAGCCGACATGGCCAAAAAATGTACAGGCAGCCTCTCTCAACCGAAGGGAATTCAATTGCAGGGAACATATATTTTGGTCAAAAATAGATAAAAACATTCAAATACATTCTGAATGTGAAAAGCAAGTAAATCTTTCTGGACTTTTTCAGCTTTACAGTCTTTTTAATACAATCCATCATTCACTGACAACACAAACAAGTAAGGACATTAAGCTTATGTCAGAGCATTATGCATGTAAAAATTATTTCAGCACTACTTTTACTACGTGAATGTTGGATAATTTCTTGAGCACAACGTTTCCTGTAGTTGATGGATCAGATGCATCAGTCACTCTCAGGCCAAAGAACTCACGTCTCCTGCACTTCTGATTAGAGTCACTGCCTGATTTTTAAACCAGTTTGATCAGAGATTTGAAATGGCTGTCAATGACAGAAGAAACTGATGATCAGAGTTGATCTATTTTGTTGTTTCACACAGTCCTGGACAGAAGGATAGCGAGGACTTAGCTGCATATACCCAGGCCAGGTTAATGAGACTTGGGAGACTGTATGAATTCTTCATAAGGCAATCCTTGCAAAAAGACAAAAACAGATTGTCTCTCTTAGAAATGAAAGATGTTGTTATTATTAAGGCCTATCGCAGAACGTGAGGTCTCTCTTCTTCTTGCCTTCTCTGTAAAGCACAAAAAGAAAGGTGTATTGCTTTGGAAGAAGAGATAGGAGGATATCCAGGAATAACAAACCAGGACTTTGCAGTTTTCGCTTCACTTCAGCTCAATTTGGTTTATCGGTGTGAAGCTGCTCGGATTCAAGATGGTCTGGTTGATTGGACAGCAGAGTTGGGCCAGGGAAAGGCAAAAAAGAGGCAACTATTCGGAGTTGATTGAAGTGGAGCTAACCTAATGTAGACAAACTGATTGTTATAATTTTTCTTTCTTGTTTCAGTAGAGGTAAAAGGAGAAATGGAACAGCCTGTGCGTACAGTTTTGTTTGTCTTAGCACAGAAAAGCATTATTGTAATAATCCTTTAAAGCCTTAAATATTTCTACATTTTGTTGTTGTCAATTTATTTTAACCTTTAGACAGCTTTACCTTTTTAGATTGTTTAACACAGCGCTTCTTTAACAGTACGTGCTCGGCCACACTACAATGGTGACAGTTATGTTGCACCAGTAGACTTGTATCAGGGGAAGGGCGGGACCAACAAATGACCACATTTCAACTGCTCTTGTCTCTTCTTTCTTTCTGCATGGTACTTTTGACATCTTTTCTAATCTTGGCTTCCCACGTTTCTGCTTTCAATTTCCCCTTATATATTAACCTTTTCCCACCCTCTCTCCTAATCTACCTCTCCCACTCTTTTCAGTGAGCAGTCTCCATCTTTGCTGTCTCTACAGAGACATCGAGCTGTTGGCAATTCCTGTCACAGACACTGCCTTAATTAGATATTCTTCAGCACTTTGCCCCCCCACTCTCATTCTTTCTCTCGCACAGGCCTCATTTTTAGCCGGCACAGTTTGCGCAAGATTTCAGTGATGATTGTTGCACATTTGAAAAAAACAAAAAAAATGCATAATGATTGTATGCTGCTCTATCTGCTAAATGACAAAGCTATTTAGAAGGTATTTTTTTCTTATTTTGGAAAAAAAAAATATTTTGCTATGTGTAAAAACAGCTGTCATCAATACGTAAACATTCTGGAAATAGAGAAGTATATGTATTTTTAAATGTTCCTGTTCTGTGATTTGTTAAGATGTGTAGCACAAATTAAAATTCCTCATTGACTTAAAAAAATTTGTTGTCTTATCTCATGCGACCAGCTGTCAGCCATGTTGGAGAAGAAAAGTTATTTACATTTGGTGACTTTGGGTTTCTAAGCAGAAAAATGGAAGTATCCAACAATCTTTATTATAAGTACCATAATTTTAACAGTATAAATAATGAACAGAAGAATAGTCATGCATCAGATCAACGTCATACAAATTGATATGCACAAAAATAATCAAAAATGGACAACAAAAAGGTGATGGGGGGGACATTTTGTATATCAATAACAGGAAAACGCCAACAATTTGTTAATGCTGGTAAATCGTTTTGGTCATTTATCAGGTCAAAATATTTGCTAGTTCAGCTTTCTTAAGTACCTAATGTGGGTTTGACACTTTTCTTTGTATGTACTTCAGAATTTTATCTTTTTGGGATTTGGACCTTTGGTTGGACAAACAAGCTGCGCATTTCTTTAAATTTCTGACATTTTACAGACTAAATGATCATTAACAATGAAAATAATCGCAGCTGCAGCCCTAGTAAACATTAAAAACAGTCCTATAATCCTTCCGTAGTTTAAGAAGAGACGTCTTGACTCCTTATTTAGAGAGGCAGTGCACATCTCGATCTGCACCTGTGCAATGTTTTCTTCTTTCTGCAGAGGAACTGGTCACAGGCTAGCAGAGGGTCAGTGCTCCTGATACAGGGATCCAGGATGTCTCGGGGGAGCTCTCTGGAGCTGAGGTCAGAACAGCAGGCCAGGCAGCATAGTACTGACTAAGCATGGCTTTTTCCCCCTCTTGTTGTGACCTAGGCTTTGAATTGAGGACTTTATAAAAGGTGAACTAGTTGGACTTCCTTTTTAAAGCCAAATAACAAAAACATTTTCTGTCTGGTATCTAGCCGTGCTGATAAGTTTTTGGTTATACAATTAAGGTGAATGGAATTTTGTTTTGTGCTCACAGCGTTAAACAGTGACTTAAAAGCATCATCTTCCAGAAAAAATGTCTACAGACCTCATAATGAACAGTCTTCCTTGGAACTACTTTCTTATGAAACCTATCGTGAGGTCAGAAGATTATCCAGAGCAACTGGGACGCTGGAAAGGCAGAAACAAGTATCTATCTTCATGGCTGGAGACCACTAGAAGAAAACTATAAACTTTTATTGTAATTTGTTAGATACCCTTTCAACAAAAGTGCAGCTAACGACCTGTGTTAAAAGTGAAATCCAATTCTGCAGTGCACAAGTTGTATTCCTGCTCAAAAGGACTCATTCCAGAAAATACCCCCCCAGCAGGTTTCAGTATATACTGAATATATCCGAAGAAAATGAGTTTCCCAAATGCATTTTCTCTTTTGAATGTCCAAACAATGTGACCAAGTGTTAAATATTTACAAATGACTATTTACACCTCTTAACCAAATACATGCAGCATATATTCACAACACATGTGGTTTATACACCCCAGGATTATGCATCAGAAACATGACGACAATCCAGTAATTAATAAACAATGTCCCGCAGCAGCTGCACATGCTCTGTGCATGTCCAACCACGACAGTTCATCTCTTTTGCAGTAGAGGTAAAGTCCAGTGATGAGGTTAAATGAGATAAAATGTGAAATAGGAGAGCTGGGCTGTATGTCTTGTCGTCCTCTTTCACCCCACTCTCCGGTACAAAAGTTAACATTCATGCACAATCCTTTAGTCTGTTGAGCAGACGGTGAGAGTGCTTTGGGAGTTGCTAACAAACAGGTTTATAAAACATTCCACTCTAAAAGTACTGTGTAAGTAGAATTCTAAAGTACATTTTATAGTTTCAGAGTCCTTTTGTCTGAGATCTGGGTAGCTATTTTTACCATGCTACTTAATGTCTGAATTACTAATACAAATTATTCTAAAAACAGATGGAGCATGTGCATACCCTGGACTTTTTCCAAGGGCTGATAGGGGAGAAATTAAAACCCTACAATCTGTTGTGCTTTAAGCCACATCAGACTGCACACTGGCTTTTTAGACTTTGCCCTCCACAAGCACTGAATAATTAGGCAACTTTCCTCACAGGATATTCCTTTGATGACAAGGTGGGTTACAGATTCTGTCTGTCACACAAACCCAGTAGAAGTTGGCATGAGGGAAGCAGGTCTGGCAGCTGTGGAGTGGAGTCATGGAGCGTTACCGCCAGTTGGATTTCTTGGCTTTGTTCTGTGCTGACGCTGGGTTTCACACTCCTATTTCATGCCGCGTATGTACGCATGGGTGTGTGTTTGTGTGTACCATGTTCCATCAGTCGTCGTCGTCATCTTGCTGTCCTACCTCTCCAGTCCCGTGTAGTGTGTTGTGCTCGTCTTAGTTGGGCAGCGGTTGCTCAGAGGTGGTCAGCAGGAGGAGGCGCTGATCTTCTCTGAGACGTCGGGGTCGGACTTGGCCACCAGGAAACGTAGGCGGCCTCCTCCCAGGCGTATCAGATCCACCGCGCTGCAGTCAGCATACACGTGGAAGTAGAGAGAGAAAGACAGGGTCCAGTTACATGAAGCTCAGCAGAGACAGAGTAAGGATGAAGAGGCATCACTGTCGGGGTCTTGCACTAATCAATCAAAGTAATCAATTGGGTTAAGAGGCAGACAGCTACGGTTATGGCTAACATTGTGTAGAGAAGACTGCTCACTGTCATCAATGTCAATATCACGCAGTAGCATCATTAATCTCCACCAGCCTATTGTTATGGTCACAAACAGCACTACTGGAACATCCTCTGTACCTCTGATAGTCTGCTCCTATCAGACTGGTCCCGTTAACAGCCAGGATACGATCACCGATCCTCAGTCTGCCATCGGAGGCCGCAGGTCCATCAGGGATTAGAGTCCGGATGTAAATGCCTGGAGCGTTGAGAGGAGTGTGCTGCAGGAGGGAGAAGTGTTACGAGTGTACATGTATGTGTCCATTATTTAGGTAAGCATCTGGTCAAGCTGGTGAATTTTTAGTTTATATCTCGTCCAATGAAAATACTTAGCTATTACACTACTTTTGTTTCTCAATAGCTGGCAGGTGTTTGGTAAAACCATAGACAATAAAAGTGAACGTAGCCAACGTGACGTCATTGGTTTGTGGACCACCGTTATGAATCCTTGAGTTTAGCATTTTGACTGCTGCCATCTTGGTTTTTGGAAACCAAATGTGACAATATTTGGACAAGAGGGTGGCGCTAGCTAGTTTGGTTAGTCAAGTGCATCCGTAATTCACCTAAACTGTGATATTGGGATGCTCATTTTGGCTAGTGAAAAAAAGGCTAAAAATAAATTTACATACCGGAAAAAGCCAGCTCCTTCGAGTGTTTTTTTTTATTTTTTATTAAACCAAATGCTAACAAGACATTTTGACCTTTGACATTTTAATTAACTGCTGCCAATTGATTATCAAAATTGTAAGCAATCAACTAATTAACTAAAATTTAGTAACTTTTTAGAACATACCAATATGAACACATTTTCAAACACATTTAAGTAAATTATTGTTTAAGGAGGGTAACATTAAATGGCCAAGGGGTGAAACTATTATATTAAAAATCGAATGAATGGTTTAATACAATAAGGCTAATGCTCCTGTGAACTGGATGACAGTTTAACACTAATTATATCAAAGAAAACATATATAAGATCTCCTTAAATTGTTAGAACACTTGAAATATACTACACAACAACTACATTGGTAGTGTATTATAAAGAATTTATTACATGTTTATATACTGCCCCTAAATAATAAATTGTAGGGGTTAAAGTGTTTCAACGCACTGTATATTTAAAGTTTCTCCATGTATTAATGTGCTGTATTTAAGGACACTCTTGTTCATCGACATTAGAACATGTTTATAGAAAATTTAATGAATATAATAAATAAATACCTCCAATGTTTGGTCATTACACCCACATAACTAAGTAGTTCCAAAATACTGTCACATTATATCAATATTAAGGTATTTGACAATATCATTTTGTGAATACGCAGCTCTAGAATCGGACTTCAGTGTCAAAGAAGCTTATTTTTGTGTTTTTTAAACTACTTCTAGCAGAAGTAGTAAACAAGCTGAATCAAAAAGAAAAAAAACTCACTGTTGTAATCTGACTGACGGTTAAGATAACGTGTAAGATGTGTTTTTAATCTTTTCTGTACTCACCAGGCCGTCTATGAGTCCCATGCCTAGTCCGTAGGGTCCCTTGTCCAGTTCCACTACAAACACCACACACAAGTCATCAGGAAGGGGAGGGGCGCCAGGGGAGGATACAGGGAAAGGAAACTCACACCCACTAATACACCCTGCAGAAGACACGGACACCCAAATTCACACAAACACACACACACAAACAAACACAGGGTCTCGCTATGGGGTTGGACAAACATAAGAGGTCTTGCTGTGCAGAAGACACACAAACAAAGATACTGAGACACATGCAGGGGTGCAGCTGCAGAACTGATGTGACAAACAGGTGCTTCTGACAAGAGTCTGCAGATGTCACACTCACTACAACGTAAAGACGGCACAGGGGGAGAGTTACTGGCGTCATGTGAGGAACAGAGCAACTAGCTCCAGCATTTTAGCTACAGAACTGCACAAACAAGCACAAATTTAAAGCTGCATTCATCGATTTTTGACCACTGGGGGATAGAAGAACTCAATAATACAACCAGAGGGACACAACTCTGATGCAGTACGATCACCTTATAAAGCTGTTATAATTAACATGTTGGCAAACAATTGCCTACTAACATGTCCAGTGGACAGAGAGCAACATCATGTGAAGAAAGTCTTAACAAAAGCGCTCATTTTGGCTCTGGCTGGAATTTATCTGTGTGTTTAACACATGTTCAACATTCTTCACCAGCTACTTGCTATATTTGTTTTTCTGCCATTTGGTGCTCAGCAGGTAGCGTACAATAGGTTTATCACAACTTTTTGCTGAATCAAACAGTAATTTTGTTGCTAAACCAAATATATGAGCTAAAAGAAGCTAAACATCTTTGTTGGTGCAGAGTTGGTGATCATTCTTTGAGGGTTCGTAGCTACAAGTGATCTCTTTATCATCACTTATAGTCATTTAATACATTAATATAAACAATATTGATGAATACAGCTTTAAATTAATTGAGTGGCACTCATTTTGTGCAGTTATTAACATTATGTCCTGTTGTCTTTGAAAACCACTGAGTGAAGAAGCACAACAGAGAAACGGATCAAGCCAAATAATAGAAATGTTCAACGTAACGTTTCTTCTAGTAGAGTGTAAACATTTTTCACACAGGTCAATTCCAGTGGAAATTTGATGCATGACACTAGCAACTTGATCTTCATGATAGCATGCATATGCTGTATAATGTGCAACACTGTTTTTGTATGCAGTGTAATATAGTGTATATTGTGTACTAATAGTATTTTGTGTAGGTATGTACAGATCCTAAACACTTTAAAAATGAATTGTAACAATTATTAAGCGGATGGCCATGGCATATAATGTTGTTATAAAACTCTGTTTCCACAGTAAAATCTGGACTCATGTTTTAGTAATATTCCAATGAGGACTTCTGATTAATTCCCTACAGATATACATTACGAATTTGGGAAAAAAGGGATCCAAATTGGTATTGGGAGAGAAAAAGTTGGATCAGCGAATCCCTGATATTGTATATGATTGACTACAAGGTTAAAAATGTAAACTCCACATTAGTGGTGGACAAAATAACAAGAACACCATACAATATGTTAATTAGTGCAATAGCCCTACAAAAAAAATACTATTTGTGTGAATCTTAATATGTTAAGTCTTTTCATTTATGTTTTCACTCTGTCAGAGGTGTTAATTACACAGTGATACATTTTAAGGCCATAGATTGTGGTGTTTCTGTATTCCTGTTATTTTGTCCACCTCCTGTATGTTATTCAGCCTACCCTCCAGTCCATTAGTGATGAGTCCATTTGTCTTTTTACTTTCTGCCACAGTTCTGCTGGTGCAGCCGTTTGTCTGGGTGTTGGGGCCTATGATCGGCCCGGGCCCTCCCCCTCCCCCTCCTCCTCCTCCTCCTCCTCCTCCTCCTCCTCCTCCGTCCGGGTACAGCGGGGTGTGGGGAGGGGTCAAGAGGCAGGACGGGTCTGGATTTGCAGTTCGAGGGTGGTGGATAGTGCCATTCCTTCTGAGGCTGTGTGTGTGTGACTGGCCTGAGGGTCTGTCCCGTCCTCTCTCCTCTCCTGTCTCTGCCGTCACCTCGTCCCCAGGACCCCCAGAGCGGGGACTGCTGTGGGCCGGAGGCAATAACTCTCTCTGTGTCGGGATTCAACAGAAAGACTTGAGAAGACACTGAGTTGTAAAGATGATGATGATGATTAGAAAATGGAAGAATGTTCCTGTTATCTTTGATCTAAGAAAAAGCTTTCTTGTTGCAGTACACAAAAAAGCTGTGTCCCTAGACAACGGTATAATTAAAGAAGATTAAAGAGATGCATAATTATTTTATAGAGAATTAAGATTCACCATTTGACATATTTGTGTATATGTTTCTGTGTGTTTGTGTACATATGAGGGTGCAGTAACACTAGGGATTATGGTCTAGTCAGCCGTTCCCACTAATTAGACAGCCTAAAGACTAATCAGATTAGCCATGATTTAACCATGTCTAGGTTTCTGTGAGTGAGTGTGTATGGGCTGGCTGAAGTAGAGGGTTTTTGTCTTTCATTTATGGGATTATGAGGAACTCCTCAACAACCACAGCTGCTGAGGCACATGGCCTGGATTACTGCTAGGTGTGTGTATCTGACATTGTGCGTTTGTGTGTGAGCGGCTCTTTCTAACCTGAACGTCCGGCCAATCAGCTGTGTTGGTTCCGTTGGAGTGTGTATGCACACTGGGAGTGTTGGTGTGTGTTTGCGTCTTGGTGCGTAGCCCCCACAGGTAGTGGCGGATGTAAAGCAGCTGTCTGTAGATACTGTCTTCTACACACTCGTTGTCCAGGTCCACTCTAAAGCCGGCGCTGGGCAGCACAATGGGAGGGTGGTTCTCAAAGCTCTCCAGGAGGTCCACTAAACACACACACAAAGTGATGTTACATCATCTACACACATACTTCATTAAAAGGCCCCCATCAGCACGTCACTCTTTCTGTTTTACGGTGTTCACGCCAAAAACTTAATTTAAAGCTAACTAGAGCTGATAACTGTTACAGAAGTTTGGGACATAACATTATAGACATGGACCCAGATTCTAGTGAAGTTTTCTCCCATTTTTTTTTGTTAAAAACCAGGATACCGTGACAGTTAAACACCTCATCCAGGCTTCTGATCACTCTCTGCCAGGTGCACACTCAACTCACATTAGTAGTTAGTTAAACAAAAACAAATATAAAAGGATGTACTGATGACCTACCATATATGCTAAAGTGAACACATTGACATTGGTTATGTGGAAGACAGATGGAGAAGACAATTCCAAATGCATTCAGTTTATTCAGCAAAGAGTCAAAAACAAAAGTAGGTCCATGAGGAAACTCAGTCGATACAGAAATGAGAGATGTGACAGATGATCAGAATCTGCAAAAGATGAATCATGGATATATTTCAATCATAAGATGAAAATCAGGACATGAATCAATCGCAGGTGAATGCTACCATACTGATCCTGTAGATGATCTCCCTTCAGAATGTAAACTAATGGAGGCTGACACTCACAGCAGCAAATGTCAATGTCCTCTTTCATTTGTATTTGTTTGTGTTCCTACATCCTCAGACCTTGCGTTTCAAGACATAAGAATGCTCTGCTTTGAATAATTTGTGTACAATACTTGAATATGTAAATATTTTTCAAAAGTTTCACTGCTGGTCAAAACTCCATTCTCAGTGTTTGTGCAGTGTATATGAAGTTTCTACATCACACTTTAGTGAATTGCATACTGGACCTTGATTGGCTGACAAACTAATTGTGATGTCACAAAAAATTATCATTGTAGGTACATTTCCTAAACTCAGGTTTAAGGTGAGCAGAGATACACTTTCCACCTTTTGTGTCAAACTCTGCACATACATCATTCTGCACCATGAAGTAATTCTAAGAAAAACACATTTCTAGCTGGAGGGGGACTTTATATGACTTCCAACATTGAGTGTAAGAGATACAGGCCAGTATATATTGCACTCTTATCACATGAGGACTTTGTGTTGCCATAATTTTGTCATTTCTACTGGCCACGAAAATAAACTCATCTCACAAATTCACACACGTACCTGTTCTGTATATATATGCCTCGTCCTCGCTGCTGGCTTGCCACGTTGGGACTGGGCCTATCTCTGCTGTGAGCTGGTACTGGGTGAGAATCCTGTGCAGCTGGACAGGTTTCAGAGTCGGGTGCTCACTGGACAAAGCTCGCCAACTCAACTGGACACAGAGCAGAAGAAAAGGAGAGGAGAAATTAGTTCTGGGAGGTCTTTTTTTTCTTTTTTTTTTTTTTTTTAAATACAGCCAAGCAATCCCAGGAGATGTGTGGGCCGTCACAAGTTGATCCTGGCTAAACCTTTTCAGAGACATTATCAGTCAATAGCTGATCAGAGAGACTTGTTTCATGAACAACAGTTCTGTCTGATGTACTGGATTAAGCATCTCAATGGCAATACTTTGTAACTGATCTTCCATTGTTTGAGTTCATGTTGAACTTGAAACATATTTTAATACGGTAAGCTGCTCTGGTTATTTTCAAGTTTTGCCACCTAATTAGTGCTAGCTAGTGCTAATCCTGTGTAAGATTGTGTGTGTGTGTGTGTGTGTGTGTGTGTGTGTGTGTGTGTGTGTGTGTGTGTGTGTGTGTGTGTGTGTGTGTGTGTGTGTGTGTGTGTGTTACCTGTGTGAGCTGTTGAGGGGGTGTGGCAAGAATGGACACAGTGCTGTTGAGCTTGGTGAAGAATTTGTCAGCCAGATGTCCCAGACCCGACCTGCTCGCCCACTCCATCACCATCCGCAAACACGCCTGAATCTGCAACACCTTGGAGCGCTGGAACCAACCCCGAGATGGACCTGCGCGCGCACACACACACACACACACACACACACACGTTTGGATATTTCATCGGAGACACTGCAGTAGATTTTTATTCTACGGTGTTTGCATGTCTAAAAGAAAGGGAGACTAAAAGAGAGACTGTGTTTTTCTATGCATTTGTTGTACATCAACACATACATACATTTTTAACTTATTTGATATTGATGCGAGTGAAACAATAGCAACAGCCACCAGTCGCCTGCTCCTCGCAGAATACAAATCGACCTCTGCAGAGGGGCTCAGCTGACTGGGTTTGTGTTTTACTGCACCCCGCATTCTTCACTCTGCTTAATCCTTTCTTTCTTTGTGTCACATCAAAGAACTGAAAGGAAGTTTTAGGGCAAGTTAAGCAGGCGACAACTTTAAATCTGGCAATTGTCAAGCTGGCATCCCATAGTTTGTCAATCTGTCGTTCCATTACCTCACTGCTCGCTCACACACACACACACACACACACACACACACACACACACACACCCCTCATAGCTATAATTCCTATTTAAGCTTTCTGAAATACCCCCCAATGTGAGCTCAGGCCTGTTGGTACAAACAATGACAAACAACTGGACTAGAGCTGGGTATCATTTGAGATTTTTCAATGCTATAGATACCCGAGTTTCTGAACACCATGAAATGCATTTAATAAAAATTTCCAAATATGGTAAATACAAACTGCTATGTTTAATTAGCCCTATTTACATTTCAATTATACATCCAAGCCTATGCAATATGACTAGTCTTTCCACCCTACCCACACAATAACTGTCACCTTCATGCTGCAATTGTTTTCATTATTCATATATGCCAAATAGTTTCTCTATTTATTGATTTTAAACTGTCCTTCTTATGCCAGAAAATTTTTGTATTTTTGCTTAAAAACCGCCTTAAACAATTAATGGTCTAATTATTGCACCTTCGTGTTATAGTCAATAGACATACAGTAGAACAAAACTTAGAATCAAGGTAAGGCGGATGTGTAAAAATGTAAATATAGTGTCAAATTATTTTTCATTTAACAGAAGAAGCCAATGTTTTCTTAATGTTAACTGTCAAAATATAAGCAGCGGTACAAGAACTTTGTCTAAATAAAATAGTGTAAAACTGGTAAGATATTAATTTTAGTTAAAGAATTACGAAAGGGTTTGCACTCTTCAATCCAGGTTTTTCAAAAGATAGTGTCAGGTGCCTGGAACCAAAATCAACAGTCCTATTTCATAGAACAATTTCACACACACTGACAAAAAAAGCAGAAGAAGCTCTTCACATGAGAAAAGAAAATAATTTGTTCCATGTGCAAAAGGTGACACAATGGGAAAACATTTTGACAGTAAAGTCAATGTTTCGGTCAAATGACTGTCGTCAGCACAACAAAAGATTTATTAAAATCATGCGTAATCTGCTCACAGAATAAATAAACAAGATTATGAATCTGATCAGACAATCAATGCCGGTTTTTGGCACTTGAGACTTTACAATACTTTAAACCAAAAACTGAATGTGCCCCCACAAAATTTCTCTCTCTACAAGTTAGACATGACAAGAAGCTTCAGGCAGACAATAAACTGGCAGCATTGTGTCCAGAGAGCACACACACCCACACACACCCACCCACCTTCAAATATTCTGCCATATGTTTTGGATGCACACACACACACACACACACGCACATGCACATATATTCCCTTCTGTAATAGGCTTATGTCTATCGCAAAGAGACGAGACATCACTTAAGCAAATGTGTCGTAATGCTTCATAGCAGCTGGTTTACAAATACACCTTTAAACCCAAAAAGGCATCGTACCATCTCAAACGAAGAGACTGAACAAGTAATCTATTTGCAGGGTGAAAGATATGACAACACACTTAAAGCAGAGCGTCTGCACCATTTTACATCTGTTAATCTGGAATTCCCCCAATCAGGTTTTCTTCCCGAGTTGCCATAATATCAGGCTAACACACAGAGTGTCTATGTGTGTGAGTTGCAGAGCGCCTGGTGCAAACGACAGCGTTACCTGCTATAAACTCACTTCACTGTTACCATGGACACCATCAGTGGAGAAATATAAATGAGCGACAAAAAGGGGAGAGAGACAGAGAGAGAAAGCCAGACAGAATGAGAGAGGGAGGTGGAGATGAGGTGGGGGACAGGGGAGCCTCTGCATGAATATAAAGGTATTTCTCCTTCTCCCTTTGCCAGACATGTGATCTCTCCTGTCTCCACAGTCTAATGAAGACATATGGCGTGTGCGTGAGTGTGTATATGTGTGGCTAAAGATACAAAGAGAGGGTGTGGAGAGGTTGGAAGTGATAGGTAGTTGGAAACATGGATATAGCTGGAGGCAAAGGACTATTTTCTGTATTTAGAAAAGGTAATTGACGATTAGCAAGGTCATCAGAACAACTGAGACCTTTCTGTCCTTTACCCTTCACTCTGCCATTTTCCCCTATTCCCCCTCCCCTCCCCTCCTCTATCTCTCGCCTACATCCTCTTCCACCTCTACTCTTCTTTGTCTCCCCTCCTGATGGCCAGATGGAAGGAAGGAAGGAAGGAAGGAAGGCAAGAAGGAGGAGGAGGGGTGAGGGAGAAACAGAATGCAGATAGGAGAAGGGCATTGAGGACAAATCTGGGTTAGTCTGTCAAAATGCTGACAAGGACAAAAGGACACTCACTCTCTCTCACACACGGGCACACTAACAACTATACAAATCCTGAGGGAGGTCAAATGGAAGAGAGAGTTTGAGTGTGCATGCTCTTTGTCCTACCTTTGTCCATCATCTGGTTAAATAGCGACACGTTGGAGAAGAAGAAGAGGTATGCAAACATCTGAGCCTGGATCTCCGGGTGGACCTGGTAGCCCTGCAAGAGCTCCTGGGTATTCTGAAACACCTGCAGACACACACATACACAAACACAAGGATGAGTATAGAAATACTGATTTACTTATGACTTATTTCTTATATCTATCAAATATGGACAAAAGCTATATAATCATACATATTCTGTATCAACACTTTCCATCTCTTCATTGAATGTATATTATGTTTACACAGAGTAAAATATTTAGACTTTATGGCTGCACTTTTCCATCAAATTAATATATTCTAGTGTCTCATTTTATATAGTTCACCAAAATTCATCCCGATATATTCAGTGTCTTTGCAATCATCACTTGAATTTAAAATAAATTTCTGTGGGTTTGAACACAGTTTGGCTGCACAGCATGACTTTGTATTAATTGATGACCCACTGGCAGGTCAGTTAACACTGACCTGTGGAACAGTGTATCACATTCTTAGCAGAAAGTCTCCCCTTCAGGTGCATGCGAGTGTTTGACAGCTAATTTCTAGACAAGCTGCTGATAATTTGCTAATTAATTGTGTGTAATTATTGTAACCCCATTTAGAAACAGGATGTCATCTTTTTATTTGTTCCATAAACTCTTTGTAATTTTTACTAGTCGCAACAGCTCGTGCCTGGTATTATTATTCCAATATGCCGGCTTGCTGAGCGGTATGAAAGGTACGGTGACAGAAAGGGGGGTCTGATTTGATCCACCTCTGAGCCGGGAATGATGGTAGAGGAGAGGAGGGACGATATTTCTGTGAAAAGCCAAGCCGGCATGCTGGAACAGGTGTGCCGTTTCAAGTCACAACCTTTTTTCTTTTTTTTCCAGGGCCTACCCGGAAAACCGGATCGCTATGTGAAAGCACACACGACTGCAGGCTTATTTTGTTCAGTATGAATGAGCGAAAGCGGCATATTGGCGGGATCTCTATGTGAAAGCGGCTTATGTGTGCGTCATCATGGCAAAATGTGGTCCTGGAGACACCTACAGTAGCAGGAACTACCACAGAAGCGGTTTTAAGTGCTTCTCTCATGTCATGTATATCATGTCAGAATATTTCTGGTTTATTTTGAAATAATGTCCCTAATTCTCTTTTATACTTAGATAAGACTTTTGGTTTCTCCACTTCACAAGACCCCCTCCACTCAAAAATTTATTTTGTTTAGTGTTCCTTTACTTGAATGTTTGACCCTCACTGAGTTTTTGACTTCTAGAGGCATTATGGAGCACTTGTTATTCGTTTGTCTCGTGTATGTGTACACAACACACATTCCTGCCAATAGTTTCCCACTATTCCACTGATATACAGGTGGCAGTAATGTGCCAAGATATTACAGCAGATACACATCAGTCAAAAAGAAGAGCTAGTAAACATGGATGTAAACAATGCTGGATTTAAAATACTTTAGATACACACAATATGTTTTGGTAAGAAACACTTTGTTTTTTCACAAGAAAATTCTACAGGGTAACTTTAAATATGAGATGTGTATGAATGAGCATATTTTTGTTTGAAAGCCAATCCTGGTCCCAATATCCATTTTTCAATGAGAAGGAGTAAACGCAATTGTACAGACGTTTACCTAGTTAATTGAACTTTTTGTAGAAAAAAACGTATTTTATGTCCTAAAATGTTTCTTTAAACAATAACATGAAAACAAGCTATTTAAAACAACGTGTGCAACATAGTGAGATGTGAAACCAAAGAGAATCAAATTAGTTATGACAATTAATAATGAATTACATTTGCATGATCCTAACAACCTACTACAATACAATATAAGGCATGTGCTTACCTGCAGGACCCTGCGTATGGGTTCTGGAAACCCTACACCTCCTTTCCAACAGGGCTCAGAGCTGTCGACCGGGAATGGATTACAGTCTAACAACCCTGGTAACACTACATAAAGAGCCTGGAGACAGACAGACAGACAGACAGACAGACAGACAGACAGACAGACAGACAGACAGACAGACACACAATGATGGAAGTAATCTGAAATTACAGAATAACGTCTAACATTTTAATCATTTTGTGTGTGTGTGTGTGTGTGTGTGTGTGTGTGTGTGTGTGTATTCATCTAGTCCGGTTTAAAAAAAAACAAGATAAAAAAAAATGTCTTGTTCAGTAAGATGGCACGATTGTCGCAGTGCCAAGATTACCTTGGTGATATAGTAGACACATTGCTGGAAAGTGTACATGATCACTTCTTCCAAGATAGTCATTGCCTCCTCATTGGCGGATATGGTTGCCGATAGCAACGACTCCTTTGACCCTAGACACAGATGGCAGAGATAGAGGCATCCTTAAGAGATATAAAGCTGTATCAGGATCTACTGTATGTCAGTGTGAGTAATGACTGAGCCAAGTTGTTTCCACACTCATCATTCAGACTTGTTGAGTGAGTGAGTGTGTGAGTGAGTGTGTGTACCTTGCAGTGTCTCTATGCTGTGTGTGTATGCTGGTGCTCTTTGCTGTATAAAGTAGAGGATCTCGATGGAGTTAGACATCCAGAAGAATATGGTCTGCAGGTCTGGTACCAAGTCTGAGATACTGAGCAGAGACAGGGAGGCCGGGTCCTGGCTACATGGACGGAAGGACGGACGGACGGACAGACACACACACACACACCCACCCCATGTGGAGGTTATAACAGTTACATAGACATACTGACACACTGAACACACTGTCATGCAAACTCAAAAGCAGTACATAAGCGCAAGCTCTCTTGTTGAAAGCGATACTCACTGCTGAGCTTGCTTCTGAGCCAGCTCCTTTGTCTTCTCCTGCAACACACACACAGCAATTAAGTTAAACTCATTAAACTTTTAGGATGTGCATAGGAGAACCACACTACATGGCGGTATCACTAACCTGCAGAAAGAAATACCACAATCATCATATTTACAAAAACTAACACACTCAATGCAGGTTGATAACTTTGAGCCCAACTGGACTGATTATAAACTTACTCCAATTATAACACCACCCATTTTTAGATAAAAGATATAAACCCTATGAATAAAACGAGGTAACCGGAACCATATTCAGGGTTTCCCGCAGCGTTTTATAGCAGAGGCGGACCACCTCTAGTGAAACCACCTCTGCTAATATAAAAACTTTATGCACTTGTACAAGAACAACAACATAAACCTTCAGAAGAAAAGAGAAGAGATGCCACTGCATGCAACAGGTGTAGCTACTGTTTAGACTGTTCATTTCCTGACTAAATTGAATGCAACACAAGATGTGTCAGAATCAGGGTTTCTTTTTACCTCCCCAAAACTATTTCCTGGGGGAGACCTTGATATTAACAATGTTCAAATGTATCTATTTCAAAGTTCGAGATCCATTTGCCAAACTCATAAGTTAGAAGGGCTCAAACCTCAATACTGACTAAAATGTGTCAGATCTGAGTATTAAAAACTGTGCAGTATCTAAACTGGCAGCGAAAGATTGGTGAGATTCTTCATTTGATTAGATATTTCTTATTTCTTTCTTTTCTTTTCTATATATCTAAATCAGGAAACTCAGGCAAATTTCTTCATGTTAACTGCGCTGAACAGTTCATAATTTTTTAATATTCCCTAAAGTATTCTGAAAAACATTGTTTTGGTATTCACACCAAGTCTCAGGTATTGTATCTACCTAACCTATCTCAAACATTTTCAGAAGACACTCAGCCCTGTCTGTAAGTTTATAAAATGTTAAAAACTTTAAAATGCCAATCACAACTTTTAAGAACTAAAGTGACATCTTCATATGTCTCGTTTTGATATTCAAGATATATATATATATATATATATATATATATACACACACCCCACAGAAAAATTACATTCGACAATCTGGAGCGAACACATATTGCTTCGTTAAAGGACTTCATTGGTTACTTGAATATTAGAATTATTTCCATTTAACATTTTTCAGGTGTAGACACGATATATTTTCATCTAAATCCATAAACTCTTTCTGTGGTGGCAGAGGTTGCTTTGGAGACAATTCATAGTATAGACAGAACAGTATACTGTGTCAAACAGAGTACAAAACACGTGATATCTTAAGGAGAGACCAAGGTACCACAGACACAGAAAGACACAGAGACACTTAGACAGGCAGACACTGACCCATGCAATGGTCTGGATTCGTCGTACAATCTTCAGCAACAGTTTTCCAAAACTCCCGGGTGGGAAGGTTGATGCAGAGTGTTGTATGCACAGACACAGCAGGTAGGCAGGTGTCAGCTTATGGTCATCTCCTGTGAGGGAGTTTAAAGGGTTAGTTTACCTAAGTTATGAAAAAACATATTTCTCAAAAAAGTTTAGCTCCTCTACTTTCAGCCAAGGAAACAGTCACTATGAAACAGCTAACAGTGAAGTCTATGGATTATCTCGACACTGATTCTGGAGAGATGTTGCTTTTCATAGACACTTCTTACGATATACCTGTTGCGTAAAGAGTGAAAAATACTGGATGAAATGAGACAGTTTCTCTTCTTGTCTAATGTTTTCCTTATTTCCTTTTTATTTCAATACTAAAAGGCTGACTGACCCAAATCCCTGTGTAATGAACTGTGTATCTGTCTGTGTTTACTGACGACCTCATTCCAGCCTTTGTTGTTTTGTATTTGTATGTATGCATCTCATTTTCCATGCAAAATTTAAAATGGCACAATAATAAAAATATAATTTTAAAAACCTGGACAAAATAACCTAACTATCTGCATGACTCGATACCACCTTTTTATGCAGTCTATAGATACCAGTAAAGGTGAGTGAGCTTGTTTTTGTTGTTTTGGTGAAATAACCATTTAATTGCAACACCATACATCCAAATGATCAAAGATCAAAACATTGTATAAGTGCAACAGACATCTTATATTCTGTACTATATTGTAAGTCAGAGCACAGACCTCCAGGTTCTATAAGAGACACAATCCTGTTTAACAGCTGGTCTTCATGAGCCTGGTCAAAATCCAGCTGTAGCCTTCTTTTCTGACCTCCTCTTCCTCCTCCTCCTCCTCCTCCTCCTTCCCCTCCTGACAAACTAAGGGGCCCTCCCACCGCAGGCGCTCCACTGCGGGATTTTATCAGGTGAGGTTTGAAGCTGCGTCTGACTGCCGGAGCACTTGACACCTGTGCTGCTTTGTCCTTCAGCACAGAACCACACATCTTACATGTCTGACTGTCTCCCTCCTCCACCCCTGTATCGTAAAGCTGCCCCAGAGAGCGAAGGCGTGCCAAGGTCTGAGCCGGCAAAGGCTTAGCGCCCGTGGGGTCTTTGTACAGGAAGATGTAATGTGCTCCAAAGGAGAGGAGGTCACCGTGACGCAGCGTGGTGGAGCGCTCGCAGCGGGAAAAGTTCACCAGAACTGTGGCGTGGAGTACTGGCTCCACAGCAACGGAGAACCGCTGACTCTCAACCAGCTTTTCACCCTTGTTGTTGTTATTGGCATGACGACGGGGTGCGGGGACTCTGCGCAGGCGGCAGTGGAGGGGCAGGATGTCAGGAGAAAAGAGGCAGATGTTGGGGCGAGCTGACGGAGTCTCCTGACCGACTGTGTGCTGCTCTCTGTTCAGCAGGTACACCAAACAGTCCTGCAACACACAGCCAATAAATAGCACATCACCAGATATACTGGAAGTCTCTAATATAACATGTGAACTTCTTCCCTATCCTTACCTGCTGATTGTATCCCTGTAGCAGCAGGATGTGAGGGGACTGGTAAAGCGAGTGCCTCACCCCTCCTCCCCCCTGACTCCCCTCTTCTTTCCTCCGGCTGCTGGAGGCCGCCTCACGTTCTCGACACCTTAAGGGCCCTGGCAGGGTGGAGTAATAACGTTTGGGCTCCTCTCCCACTCCCAGCTGCAGACACATGTGTGCGCGCACACACACACACACACACACACACACACACACACACACATTTGGGATTTAAGGTAATAATAATCAATTATTTTGACTGGGCTTCAGTGTGGTGGCCCCACCTGGTTGAGGCTGGTCTCGCTGAGGCTGCGGCAGAAGGATGAGTTGCTTGACCGTGGCAGGGTCAGCGTCCCCTTCGCCCTGTTCCTCTGGAGCTTACGAGCCTGAGCATTAATATCTACAGGAAGGCGGTATGGAGGAGCAAGACCGAGAACAGGGAGGGAGAAAGAAGGGCGAGAGGGAGAACAGGAGAATGACAAAAAGGAGCAAAAGGAAGAGGCAGCGTAGAGAGAGAAGTTGAGGACACACACAAGAAAAGAAAGGTAATGAGTGGAAACTAAGAAGAAAGTGCACTCAAATGTGACGTGCATTGTTGACATGTAAGACTCATGAGTCTGGATAAAGCAACTTCTTATACTGTAGTGACACAAGTGCATAGCAGTCATGTGTGAGCTAAGTGAAAACTAAGTACAACAAAACCAGTGAGATGACAAATGGTGCTGGATGGAGCAGCACATGTAGCTGACAACAGTAACCTTGATGAAAGGTGAACTGGGCAGCTCCTCATGACTTGAATTTGAGGCCATGCGATGGCTCACACTGATTTAAACACACACACACACACACACACACACACACACACACACACACTGGCTGAATCACTGGCAATGGGGGTGGCGCTGGTGACAACACAGGTAGAGGTGGTCTCCATGGCAATGACTGACAGCCACCCTACCTGATGCCAGTCCCCACCTTTAGAGCTGGACTGTACCACTCGACCAGACCGCATGGGGGAGCTCCTGTGTTTGCCCAGCCCAGACCGACCCATTAGAGCCGCCAGGAATTGGGACGTTTTGGGCCCTACAGGAGGGATTAGGAATGGGAGGGGGGGGGGAGGCTGAGAAAATACCCCCTCACCAAAACACTGAGCACAGAATAACACCCCCACACACATATACCAACAGCACACCACAAAAACACATGCACTGTGGAGCAAAAAAAAGTGATGCACAGTTAAAAGATGTGAGGTACAGGATTTCCCCCTCTAAAATACCACTGTCAAATTAGTAAGATATCACAAATATCAAATTTTTCATTGCAAACTATACAATATGCTTAGTGCTTAATTGTGAGTCAATTTGGGTGTTTTTATATTTGATTTCACAAAAAAAATCCAATTTATTTCCCCAGTTTGTTGGCAGGTGAGATTAAAACCATGCAGAGTTGGGAATGCAGATTGTATCATTGAGTGTCGATAATGTAATTAATTTGGCTGTGATATGTAGTAAAAATCCTACCGTACCTTTCAAGTGCCATCTCATTGTAAAAAAGTGTGTGTAATAGTACACACATTTCAGACATGTGCATGCACGCTCACACATATACCAGGGGGAGAGAAAAAAGACAGTAAGTGAAAGACAGAAGTAAAGGAGGAAGAAGAGACTCCAGAGAATGTGAATTTTGTGAACACTATAACACAAAAGAGAAAAGGTTAGTGTGAAAATGAAAATGTGTATTAGTTAAAACCCTTTTACCCCCAGAAGGTAATCTGTGATGTGATATTTTTGTTTATATAAGAGGTTCATGCTGCAGTTGTGTAACTGTAACATCTCCAAGCACAGTAAGAAATGCTGGTGCTAATTTTTTTTAACTGTAAACAAATCCAATGAAAAGACCAAAACCAACAATAAATTAATCCTACAAACAAGTGTTTTCTGTCTTGCCAAAGGCTGATATAGCTTTTTTATAGCAAAGACCTCTATTGTTGTCCACATACTGTTAACACATGAGTGAGCCACACCACTGCACTGTGTAACAAGTCACTTTATTACAATAAACACTGCGGTTCATTTTGAGTAAATCCACCATCCATAGTCCTGCCCTAAATACTCACTAGCACTCAAAATATTATTAATTTGTGTTTGAAATTAGTCCCCACCAAATGCACAATTTACTGATTGAGTGTTTGCTAAGAACAACAGTAACCAGCAGTTGTAGAAATTTATAGAGCCATTTTTTTTAAATAAATGGGAAACTGTGGAGATGCTACCCAATGATAATACAAATAAAAATATGTGCACAAATACAGGAACTCAATGGCATTAAGAACAACTGTTTTAGAAACAAAACTAAATATTTATGACACAGACAGTGTAGGGAAGTCAGAAAGCACTAAGAGATTGGTTTTGTTCTTTTCATGGGATTTGTTGCGCATAAGAAAAATACAGAGTAACACCAAATGTCTCCTTTTTAAAGGTTTTTAAAAGGTTGGTTAAAATTGTCTTGTGTTCAGTCCAAAGTGTGTACACAAGACTATATTAAGCAACTGTACTGTGCATCAATAAAAAAATAAAACATTGTTGACTGACTCTCTGGCTACCACAGACGTTGACATAGCAACCAGTAAACCCTGGCGTGCTTCATGAGAAATCTAAGTGAGGCTGAAAATACTTGCTCTGCCTCTCTGAACACTAACTGGGTGTCTTCAATAGGATGCACAGGGGTGAGTGTGTGCATGTGTGTGTAAATGGCAAACGTTTCATCAATCAGTACACCAATCTACGTAAAGGTCACCTCATGGTTCCAAAAGACATTTACACAGACGTAGATTAATAATACTGCACTGCAGATGTAAAGTCACAATAGTACTTTTAATGAGTTTGCGCCATTTGTTTACACATTATCTATTGAAATGTACCTACAGAATGGAGTGAATCTGTAATATCCGGAAATCCGTAAACTGTAATATGACTTGAGTGTACACAGTTCAGGTGTGACTGACTACAGTCTGTACTTTAGTAGAAAAATGATATTACCTCACTGTAATAGAAATGAGTCATTCATAAAAACACCCACCCACACCTCCGGTTGCAAAGGATTCAGCTTTCACTCAATCATTCGATTGGCTGTCCATGCATTTCAACTGCTTTGTGAGTGTGCACTTGTGTGTGTGTGTATTTCTTTATGTACTCAATTGTACATGCAAGTGTGTGTCTCTAAGAATAAAACACCAAATGAAACATTTCCACATAAAAAAAAAACAATAGTATTTATACAGGAACATTGTCTTCTCCACAGGATAATAACTGACGAAGGCTCTTATTCTGCATTTCCACACACACACACACACACACACACACACACACACACACACACAGCAGAGGAGGTAACGAGCTGTGCTTTTCTGCTGAGTTTGACATGTCAAGAAAGGAAGGGAATTAGACCAGCTGCTGTGTGTGCGTGTCTATGTGTGTACCTGTCTATCTATATGCGTGAGTGTGTGTGCGTTTCCTCACCAGCAGTGATGGTGTCCTTCTCCTTGGCGTTGAGTTCCTCCACCTCTGCTCTCCTGCGCAGCTCAAATCTGCGAGCGTGTCCTTCTCTGGGTTTCCACAGCTCTTGGAGCAACAGTGGCTTTTCATTGTCCCCCAGCGCACGCAAGCATTCAGTTCGCCACCCGCCACCTCCTATCCCGCCTCCCCCCTCAAAATGCCCGATCACGTCGCACAGGACGTACGAGTGGGCAGCGTTCTTGTTGAGCGAGTAACGCTCGAGTGCCTCTTTGACCAGTTCCTGAGCACTGGAGTGTGGCGTGGCCAGGACGCTCTTGTAGTTGGCACCAGCACAAATTTCATCTCCAAAAATCTTCAGCACCCCAGGGGCCGAGCTCTGTGTGGAGAGTTCAGCTGGGTCGTCCGCCGGTCGCTCTGGGGGATCGTTCGTGGAGCGCCTGTCCCCACGAGTGTTTGTTCCAGTTTCTACTGGGACACGGTCTCTGTAACTCAGAGTGCGGTACAGGACCTGGTGAACAGACAAACAATACTGTACTGTAGGCCACTTGATCACAGACATTATGTACAGTTCATGTTTGTAGATTAAAGGGTCGGGTTCACTAAAATCACAAAAAAAAACTAAACAAATTGTTTTCCAAGGTTTAGAGCTATCCATCTTTGAGATTTCTGCCACTACCAATGGAGGTGAACAGGCTTTTGGGTGTGGTGCTCAAAGTATTGTGACAGTCCCTCCTAGGCACTAGTTGTCCTGTGTCTGTCCTGTCTGTTTGTCTTGCAGGATGCGGTTCTGGTAGGTCGTCATCAGCGGCATGAGTTACACCTGCACCTGAGTGGTTGGGAGCTATAAAGCTCACCACCTTTTTGTCTTTGCTCTCTCTCTCTCATCGCGGGTGCAGCTGTTGATTACTTTTCTGTTCTTACTGACGTTTCACACACTGACATGACACTGATTCACACATTATCTTTGCTAAATCTTATTTTGTAAAATAAATTGTTACTTTTTCCATGCAAGCTTGTCTTGTCTCCCATCTTTGTCGCAGCCTAAGAGCCGGGCTGTGATGGTATGGGAAATTATATTTACAGTGTTTTTCAATTGCTTAAACACATCTCTTGAAATTATGCCTCTTTTTCTCAAAACTGTAAACACAAATCCACAACTTCTCACCCAATTCCCCAAACATCCTATTTTCAGGTCAAAATGAAGCTCTCCACTCAAAACCATTCAATCTCGCTGAAAAACCAAACTTTGCCCTCAGACATAACACACAAGCCCTCAAAAACACACACACACACACACACTACAACACAGTCTTACACACTGGTGAGAAAAATTCAAAACAATACCACAAAAACTGCTTATTAGTAATGTTGCTTGTGGTTCTCCCCCTCAAAAGCCTTTTCACATGATGAACACAACAAAAGAAATAACATTTTTTCCCCTTAGTGCTGTACAGTTCAACAAACCAAACAGCTAATTATTCTGCCCCAGCATCCCGTCTTTGGTCTGGGACAGGCCGGAGATTCTCATCCTCAACCTCCTTCTCCACCTCCTCCCTACTTCTCTTCCTTCTACCTACTCTTCCTCCCTCCTCCTCCACCTCCTCATCTTCCTCCTATCCAGTTCCTCTTCCATTACCTCTTCCTCCTCTACCTCTTCCTTCAGATTTCTCTCCATTGTTCCAAACCTGAATGAACTGACTCCGGCCCTTTTATCCATCTATTGAATGTTCTGACTGGTGTGTTATCAATTTTGACTGTTTGTGTTTCCACCTGGTTAGCTGGGTGCTAACTGAGCTCAATCTGTGCTGATTGACTGAACAATATTGAATATTAGTGCTTTCTCAATGACCACATGCCACAAGGGAGTTGTGTGTATAGAGTTTTGATAAATGGAGTTATGGTTTCAAAATTTTAGTTCAAAAGCCTGCTTATAGTGTTTTTGCAATTGAGAAAAACTGTAATCAAGACATTTAGACTTAAATGTGCTAAATACTAACATCAGCATGATTAGATGCTCTTGAATCTCTGTATAAAATGTTGCCAATGCCAATCCATCCAGTACTTGTTGAGATATTTCAGTCAGGACCAAAGTGGTGGACGGAATTGAACAACAACGTGTCCTTCCAAAAACAGTACCGTTACGCTGAATAACTCACAAAATCTCAGCAAATAAAACAAAACTATCTATATGGCAAGGTACCACTAGAGAAAGAGAGAAAATGTGTTTAGTTTTGTTGTTATTTGGATGAACTGTCCACAATATGTAATTCAATACCTTGTATTGCAGAGCCAAACTCTTCAATGACAAAACTATTAATATTTGCTAGAGTGCGTTTATTTTCATCACTTAACTGGACATTTATTTAACTAAGATGGTCTCTTAAGATTGACAGAGTTTGGACCAAAACGGAAGTGTGTATGTTTGTGTGTGTACCTGTGTGAAGGTCCTGCTCTGGCGTTTCAGGCGGCTCTTGGATGGTAGGGACATACTGGCCCCAGAGGAAGAACCGTAGAACATGATGCTGCTGTTGGCTTCACAAACTCCACAACTGGTGAACGAGGAAATACATTTTGAATGCTTCATTTTTACAGTGGTTCCACACACACTAATTGGCATGCATAAAAGATGATGATGATGGACACACAGCTGCATATTACACTTACTTGTGGGACATTAGTAGATCTGGAAGGTAAAGAAAATCTACTCTAAATCCACTATGTAAAATGAATCCACCATAAACAGACCATGATAAATAACAAAAACTGTGTGTGTGTGTGTGTTGTTCTGGCAAGTACCTTGATGCTGTCACGTATCGTCAGTCCTGCAGCAGCACCAGGTAAAGGTTTACAGTTGAGTGTCAGATGCTTTGCATTTTATTTCATTGTCACCTTTCATAGAGAAACAAAAAATTACGATGTTAATGTCCATTTACAGAAAAATTTAGTTCCTGCTGAGTAAATATTGCTGTGGCTTTTAGCTTTTTAGCAATTTATTGAAAAAACTTTTCACACCAGAATCAAAATTACAAATATGCATCACATTACTGCCTGTCGACTTCGTAACGATTTGCAGGGAAAATCTAGAGATTAAAAAAAGAGGATTTATGTATAGAAACCACCAGTGTTGCTCTTTTCAAAGATCTAGTTGTGTCTGTAGTTGATTACTGAAACATGGATATTAATATAGTGACCTTCAAATACAGACTTTGAGTTTACTGGATGCATTTAACCACAGTTGCTCATCTCATCTTTTAGAAATTCGATACTCACCGACACAGATTTAAATCAAAAAATTGGTTGATCATCACCAACAATAGGAATTATGACATTCAAGTCCAGTGTTTAATATACCACATAACAGGATTGCTTCATTTAAAATTCTATAGAAAGTGTAAAGCTACTTTGTACAATGCACAAATTTGGAGAATTTTCTTATGAACACTGTACAGTTGTTGTACATGTTTTGGACAGTGCAATATTGACCAACCTATGAAATCCATGAAAAAGGGTACATTTGTTGTTATTCTATATAGTCAACAAATCCCATAAAAATTCCAAAACCCACGAACCACAAGACCATCTCTCAATGCTGTCTGACTTCTTTGCACTGTCAAATATATAGTTTTGTTTTTAAAAAGGTTGTTTGTCATGCCACTGAGCTGATGTTTTTGTGCACATATTTAAACATTATTTTGTTTATAAAATGACAGAAAGTAGTTGAAAATGCCTGTTTAAAGTTCCCAGAGCCCAAGGTGACGTCTCCAGATTGCTTGTTTTGTCTGACCAATAGTCCAAAACTACCACGTTTTCTCACATAAAACAAAGAAAAGCACAAACCATCAGCCGGAACCAAATAATATTAGCATTTTTGGCTGATAAATGATGAATAATTGTCAATTAATTTTCTGTCAATCCACTAATCCATTTGTTTTCATTTTTGCTTTTTCCAGCTTCTAACTGTGTGTGTGCATCGTTTCCCTCGCCAGTGAACTGACTGTGTTCTTCCTCCCAGCTGTCTGTGTAACCTTGAACTTGATGCAACTGATTCAATAAAGCATAAATGAAAAATGGATAAAGCACTACGCCGTCTTTTGACTGATGAAGACCTTACATGCAGGTTACATCAGGCACCCAAAGAACATTTCACAGCCAGTGTGGCAGCAGAAGTGTCAGCAGATTAAAGCAGCACCTCATGCAGTCTGTTTTGACTACTTGTGCAGTCTAACAGTATATCATTTCTTTTCAGCAAATATCTGGCAGGTAGCCTAAAAGCTGTTGTTGTAGCTGACTCTGCAAGCACTGGTGGGATAACGTGACTATTTTAAATGCCTGCTAATCCACAGTAATCCGGCTACTTGGCCGCAGTTAACTCAATCCTGGGACCAACACACCCTTCCTGCTTCCTAACACACACACACACACACACGGAAATGAGAGACAGGCCTAAATTTTGCATTGGTAGGTTGCGTTTTGTGACCCAGGAGGTTGTGTTACATTTGTTCATCATATCACACAGAGTCCAACTTCTCCAGCCCTTTTTGACTTGACTCGTCTGTCCTTGGCTGGACAACGAGAAGGTCAGAAATAAAGACTGCGAGAAGAAACACATGACACCTATAACAGGCTGGATAATGTTGGACAGAACTTGTGATAACTAAAGGTCTGCCCTTTCCTTGGTGTCCGTCCGTCTGTTTACGACTTTGGGCTCCGTGGTCGCCAGTAGCAACCGCCGGAGCAACAAAAGGCAGGAGAAAATCCTCACAAATTAATCCGCTGATGAGTAACGTTAATTTAGTCAGGCGCGGCACTAACAGCTAACAGCCCGGCCTCTAACGGTCAGCAGGTGTGTCTAATTATTGTAGTCGAGCTCATCACAAACAATCAGCAATCAATTATCGTAAACGCGTGAACGACGCTCAACAAAATTTTAAATAAAATCGCTGTTTTTAACTGTGAAGGAGGTTTTAAAAAAGCTGTGGCGCGTCTGACCGTGAATAAAATAGGTCCTGGAAAAGTTGAGGTGTGATTTCAGCAGTGACAAGCCCAGTCCCCTGAGGGCTCTCCTGGGTGTCTGTTGCGTTAGTACTCACGCTGCCTGCAATGCGTGGCTCCATAGTGCTGGGGAATCCTTCTTGGCTTCTCTCTCATTCCGTCTCCCCTACAAGATAGAAAATCCCCGGGAAAATGGGGGAAATAAACCCCAGCTGCCCTGTTCCTAGCGACACCCAGCCGTCCGGGGATCCAAACCACATCCCCAAAACAGCCCGTTAACGTGGACGACAGCCAACCGCTGAGGGCTCCTGTTTCTGTGCGCACATCTCCACCGAGTGTCCAGCAATGCCCGATGGCTCCGGCAACCGCATTCCCACATCCATACTGCCGAGCCGCAACGGAAACACCCGAGCTCTCCGCGTTGCCTCACCTCGGCGCACCTGCTCTGGCACCCGAGTGTGCTGAGCGAGATGCCGCCGCCTGGCGGACACCGGCGGTACGACCACAACATGGAGGCGGTGTCTTCATGGGGATCCAAATTGTTTATATAAATGAAGGCATTATTACTCATGAATAAATTCAGACTAAGTATGAAGTATAACTATGACATTGTGAAATAAACTGTTTATTACAGGCTATTTTTATGTTTTACGTTTTTATTTCAAAATCAAAAACGTTTCATAATAATGAGCTGAAATGTATTGCATTTCATTTCACAATTTCATGATTATAGGCCTACAACTATTTTTTTTTTTAATCTATATTCAGTTCATAATGTCTCATTTATACATTTAGTTGAGCCCTCATGTGTCTAAACCAGTGCATTTGTAATTTTGAAACACTTAAGTGTGCAAACTGCAGTTAAATAAATAAATCAATATATCTTTTAAAAAAGCATTCTCTTTTGTGTTGTACAGAGGAAGTCAACATGAATATATGCACTGAATTACTCATTACTTATATTCTTTTCAGTTGTCACTGTTTCAGTTACTAAATGTGAAATTGGTAAATGTACATATGTAAATGTACAAGAATGACTACCTTAAATTATAAATTCCACTGTCTCCACATTACTATTTTATATTAATAACAGTAATGTGTTTAGCTTTTTTCTGATATCTAACAACCACTAGCTTCTCAAATATGAGGTATGTGATCCTTAATCTTATCTAATTAAGATCTTCTACCTCATTTAACTTCAGTATCCTTGACAATTTGGTTTAATCTAAACAGGCTGAAAGGGTGTTAAAACATTCAATTCAAATCAGTTTAGTATGGACAGCACCAAATATATATATTTATATTTCACTGTGTGAAAAAACTGCTGTAGTTTTACCTTCAGTGTCCTCTGTAGACAAAAAGTTGATTTTCCAAAGAGGTTAAACATTTTAAAATGTTGAGTCCAGAATATACTGCATGAAAAAACTTCTTTATTACAAGAGAAATAGAAAAGATAAAAGCATTGTTGGCATCATTTAGGCTTATCACAGCACAAAAGCACCACAGACACAAAAAAACAATATGAAAACTAAAGAGAGAGAAAGAATGAGATAATATAATCAGTCTCATACGACCAGAAAGAAAACACCACCAGCACTGAGAACAGAGTCAGCATCTCCACAATCACAGAGCGTCTATAAATAATGTACAGAGGGTCCATGACGGCTTCATGGAGAGGTGGGCACTGTATGTCTGTATTAGACAGATATATAATAACCAAGACAAGACAGACAAACATCAAATTCTCAAATACATCATCTCATTATCGCCAAACCAGCCTGTGGCAGGAGTCAAAATACTGACTATGAAAGTCTATAATACCCACAGAGTACTCCAAACCAGTACAGGCTCAATCATTTGGTGTTTCTCAGAGGCTCAAGTAAACACTTAAGAGTACAAGTACTAAAGGGTACTCTTAAATTAGGAGAATACATCTGAAGAGTTTCATTCCACAGTGAGACACACGGTGTGACAAATGCAATGCCCGGTTCACTGTGACAATAAAATAAAATTGTTCTGACATTAAATTACCACTTCCTAATGACTAAAACAAAATGATAAACAATGATAATAATGAAGAACTGTGTTAAATCTATAAAATCTATAAAAGCATGACAGTATATTTGAGATCCCAGGACCTGGTCAGGGGCAGTTAGGCAGCAAAGGAGTTCCTGCAGAGCTGCTCCTTGGTTATAAAAAGTACAGATTTGTTCTATTACACTTGGATAATATTATTTGTTACCTCTGCCAACATGATTATGTTGTCAGTCCCACCTGTTTGTGAAATTACGATTTGTTTGTCTACTAGTTAGCAGGGTACATAAAAAAAAATTAAAAGCAAGGAACAAGTGATTTGTTTTTGGTGTGGATCCAGTCTTTTTTTTTTTTTTTTACCACTTCACATTGTATTATAAGGCCATTTTTGCCTTCCTTGTTTTCTCTGGAGATACTGTAATTACTTGAATTTAAAGAAATGTGGCACATTCATCTCATAAGTGTTTGTCACAGTGTGTTTTGATGCTATTCTAAATGCAAATTTTGTGGATTTTACTGCAAATTTAGAAGGTTGTGCAGCTTTGCTGAAGGTATGATTGTAGAATCTATGAACACATGCTTTTGTAATATCTGTAATGGCTGTATGTCAATTTCTATCTGCCTTAAAGCCTTCTCCCGTTTGGTTAGCTTGTAAATATTAACCATATGTAAAGCTTGCAGAAAACCTGTGGGACTGCTGCCCTACTTGGGGTGGTGAGTAAGCAAGTGAAACTTTATGGGGTAGTGCCAGCATTAAAGAAAGCAGCTACACAGCTATTTGATCATTTTCATTGCTGCAGACGGCGCCTGAACAACCGGAGCAGCTTTAGCAGTCCTTCAAAGTGGCTTCACAGGCTTTAAAGCCCAAATGATCCAAATCCTGAGAGACGGACAGCAGTGAGAAGATTTTGAACAGGAGCAGAGGTTTAAAAAATATTTTTTATACCTATGAATACTAGACGGCATGACCTTTTGGTCCCCTAGCCACATTTATCATACTATACAAGCTCGTCTAATATATCGTGTGCCACCACATACAGCTTGACACTAAGAGTACATACATATTTCAAATATACTTTTTATGCGTTCAAGGTACATGCGTTTACGTGTAAACATAGACTCAGCCGATTACAGGCTTTGGATTCATGGGAGTCAGATAGTGTAGGATACGTACAAACACACACACACACACACACACACACACAGACACACAAGCATACACACAAACACACACACCTGAGATGCCTTAATATTGGGCCAGATTGTTCAACAATACTATAGCTTCAGTTTCCTTTCAAGTGTGAGATGTATATGGTAGTAGTGTGCTATCAGTTACGGCAGTATGTCAGTCATCTGGCAGTGCTGAATAAGACAGTGGTTTTCTCTTCTGAGGTTCATACAAGTAGCTTTGACAAACTCTATCCCATTCATAAGTTTGAAGATGATAATCAGCTGACTCTATAAGTATATTAGAAGAAAATATAGATGAAGTCAACATATACTGAACGTCATTGATAAATATATACTGTATAAATCTTACTGATGACATCTTCACTTACTAAACCTAATTAACAACAGTAAACTATTAGAATTCAGTAATTATGCTTGATAATCTACTGAGTAGAGCCTGGTAAACGTGGAAGCACACAGGTAAAGTCTCCAAAACCATGAATATCTGTATGTTTAACATAAAAAAGATCACAGTAAATCACCAACTGAAGCAACCACTGCTAAACCATATAGTGTCCTATAGTGTAGATAGCACAACTAATAACAAGAACACCAATAATGCTATCTAGCGATCTGAATTGCAATAGTAAATTACTGATGTTGCAACCTCCTAAACATAATCAAATGAAACCACACTTTCTGTTAATGATGATAATAGTAATTTAACTAATGTCCTAAATGTAATTATGATCAATGGTCAAGTCAGCTAATTGTAAACATTGCCTTCCTCTTGACAATAAGACAATGCCTTCAATTCTACTTCTGAACACTGAATCTGTTGGTGCACCACATGGAGAGAAATCTCCGAGAATAGCAATTTAACCCCTGATCATTGGAATGAAATGAAAATTCCTGTAAAATTAACTTGAAATTTAACTAAACAGAACTGGTAAAAACAAAAGCTGTGTCCCTTAAAAGAGGCTGCCTCCTTTGAGGTCCAGAGTTATTACAACAGGCTGAAAGGGTTAAAGTGTCCTCCAAATACAGCCTTTGTTTTTTGACACATTTGGCAAAAACAACTTGTGGATTATTTCCAGTACCCACTACAGTATCATGCAATTCATTGCATGTCAGACAATTGCTTATTGTTGCATCCTCATCAACCCATAAAGTCAAAAAATATCACATAACCACACCGTATTTGTTATGTGCGATCAGGTTGTCATGAGTCACACAAAATCCAGTGCAGGATGTAAATAACGTCAGCGAGGCATAAACTCCACTGTTTGTTCACACTAACCACTTAGATATGATAATTGCAGCAGGATAAAGACAAAAGTAAGTACCTTTACGCTAGTACACTGTTTGCAGTTGTCCTTATTATGGAGTAAGTTGAAACATCCTAACTGGACTCGATTTCCATAATATCAGTACATTAATTAGACATCAATTTCCCCCTCAGGATAAACTGTAACTTTGATGATCCCCTGCAAAACTAATAGCAGCTGCACTTAGCGTTTAGTGATTAAGAAACTTTACACCTTGTAAACATCCACATGTTAGCATTATAATTGTGAGGATGTTAGCATGCTGCGTTAGCTCAAAGCAGTACACCCTCACAGAGCTGCTAGCATGGCTGATTCTTAGTCTTGTTACAACTTTCCCTGTTGATGAACATAATTTTGTTAGACTTTTTGAGTTGAGGAGAATCACCTAAATGCACCATTGTTTTTTGTTACTGTGAGGCTACACCAACTTATTTAGGGAGGTGGTTCAGCACTCTTGCTTTCCAAAAGCGGCAGCCCCTGAATTGAGACACAGCTCGCATCAACCCCTTGAAGTAGCTAAATCACAGGAGCTACTTCCTATGAGGTCAGCGATGATGTCATCTGGAGGTCTGGACCTGACTGGGTGGCAGGGCATAAAGGTACTTCCAGATGGCGTAGTAGTGTATGGCTGCTCCCATAGCTACAAACAGGTGCCAAATGGCATGAGCGAATGGTACAATGCCGTCACTTTTGAAAAAGACCATTCCCAGACAGTAGCAGGCACCGCCCAGCAGCAGCTCACACAACCCCGACTGCTCCGGCTGGGAAGAAGCAGACATTTTATTATGTTTACATTTCAAAGACTTTACAACAATTGAATGACAAAACCTTAAAGACTAAAAGTGAGACTAAATGAGTGTGCTCACCATTGAGAGTATGACCAAGGCAGGAAAAACTCCCATCACCGTATAGCAGATCAACTCCATGATCTTATACCTGATACAGAGAGAAATAAAAATACAATCTCTAAAATCTTTTAATAAAAAGTTACACGCAGATTAAGCAGGGTTATTGCAGAGGGAACAACGCACTTTTTGCTTAAAGGTTCAGTGTGTAAGTTTTAGTGGCATCTAGTGGTAAGGGTTGCAAATTGCAACCAACGGCTCAGTCACCGGTCAACCCTTTGCAAGCGCTTTGGGGAACCTATGGTGGCCAACGCGCTCTGTCAGCTCTTGTGCTAAATAATGCGTGTGGTCCTCCATTTCACTTCTCTTCTTACTTCTTACAAACCTGACGACTACTTCTACTTCTACTTCTACTACTACTTCTTCTTCTTCTTACATATTCAATGTTGTGATGAAACACGCTCTGTAGAGCAGTTTGTCTGTTTAGGCTACTGTA